CAGCAGGAGTGAAGAGGCCACTCAGAATGTTGCAGGCGCCGGGGAGCCTGTCTCGAAGTTTCGTTGTGGTGCGAGGCGTGGCAGGCTGGAGTCTTTTGATGTCTGATGGTGGTTTGTGAGACAAGGTTGAAAACGAGCAAACCCGAGAGGTTGCAGTCCTGGTCCTCGTCGTCGCCGTCGTCGTCGTCCTCTTCCCCCTCCCCCCTCCCGTTCCTCCCCCCCCTCTTCCTCCTCCTCGCCCTCCACGCCCTCTTCCCTCCTCCTCCTCATCATCCCCTTCTCCTCCGCCCCCGCCCCCCTGGGCGCCCGCTGGGGCCCTGGGGGGCCCGGGAAAAGGCGCCGCCCAAGGGGGGTTCTTCCACCGCCCTTCTGCCCCGCAAGTTGAAGCCCGCTTGGGCTTAGGCCCTTCGGCGGCGCGCCCAGTCGAGTCAGTCAGCGTTGTCTTGGCTTCGATTGATGTCCGAATGCGAGTCTGAGCTCAAGGGCCCAGAGCCCTAGATCCTAGAGTCTTAGAGGTCCCACGGGGGGGTGGGGGTGGGAGAATGGGGGGGGGGGGAAGGTGATGGGGGAGGACGGGGGAGGCAAAACAAAGGGGAGGAGGTGGATGAGACGGATGGCCACAGGACGCACGTCGGCAGGAGGAGGGCGGCCGCTTGGGGGAGGCGGGGCAACCGTTAGTAGGAAGAGGGTGGAAAGGGGGGCGGCCGCGGCAGGGGGCGGGAGGTCGCGGGGCGGGGGGAGAGACGATGAGGGCGGGCCTCATGAGGTCCACGGCGGGGCTTCGGGCCCGGATTTCAGAGGGGCCCGCCCCGACCAACGGCAAGGTTCGGCCCCAGAGGGCCAGTGTAGGGCAGTAGGGCATAGGCCCTATGCCCTACTGCCCTATGGCATAGGCCCTATGCCATAGGGCCTAGGGCATGGCATAGCATAGCATAGGGCCGACTCTCTCGGGCCACCTTCGCCGAAGGTGGCCCGCGAGAGTCTTGTCTGGGCGCCAACTCCATTCCCCCCTCCCTGGCCCTGGCGCCCCCTTTGCTGGCGCCTCTTGCCCGCCTTTCCATTCTGCTTGTCCAGGGCCGTGGGGCCATGGGCCATGGGGGTCAAGATCGAACGTCGTTTGCTTTGCTCTTTCGCAGTTGTTCGTGGGATTCCGAGTGAGGCCCCAGAACCCCCAGCGTCCGTCGACGGCAGTCCCGAGGGGGCGCCGCCAGGCCACAGGGGCTCGACGTCAGGGCGCCCCGAGGGGCCAGAGGAGCGTAGGCCAGAAGAGGAGACAGAGGAGGAGGAGGACGCGGAGGCAGAGGATGAGGAGAAGAAGGATCGACGCCACCGCGCCGGAGGAGGTGGAGGAAGTGGAAGAGCACGAAGGCGAGGGGGAGGAGGACGAGGAGGACAAGGCTTCACACAACGACTCGTCGTCGACCCTCACAGGCGCGTCCACGGATGCTGCGCCCAGTCCGTTGATGGATGATTTCCGCAAATGCAAAAGGAGGAGCTAATACTAAGTAGTACTACTACTATTACTACTACTACTACTACTACTACTACTACTACTACTACTACTACTACTACTACTACTACTACTACTACTACCACTACTACTACTACTACTACTACTACTACGGCCACTACTACTACTACTACTACTACTACTACTACTACTACTACTATTATTACTACTACTACTATTATTACTACTACTACTACTACTACTACTACTACTACTACTACTACTACTACTAATACTACTACTAATACTAATACTAATACTAATACTACTACAGACGAGTGGTGGAGACGGCACATGGGCTTAACCATAGATTGAAGTTGCCTCGTTCCAAGCCACGCTTTAGAATTCGATCCCGCCCTTGTCAGGCTCCATGGCATCAGCAGTGCAACTCTGAGCTGTAGAGTTCCGTTCGCCTGCGGCGAAGTGGGGGTCCCCGCCGATCGCAGGGTTGCTTTTGCCGTTTGCACAGGTTCGCTCAGCGCGCGCCTGCCGTTCGCCCGTGCCGTCGGTTTTTTTGCGCGCTTGGAGCGTTCTGTGTTGCACTTTCTCGCCCACCCTGCAACGCTCTCTTCCTCATGGTACGCAGAAGCCGGAGACCACCGGAAGAAACGCATGCTCACGGGCATCTAACGATGCGTCTCTCATGCGAATGTCAGGCCGATTCTCTTTCGGCGTTGTTCTCGGGCTTAGAGTGTGGATTGCTCGCATCAGGAGCGCAATAGTTCAATTTTACCGAACATGTCCCGAACATGTCTGAAGCAATTTTCAAGCATTGTTCGAACATATTTCGAACATATTCGATTTACATTTTTTCATTTTTTTCACATTTTTCTAAAAATCGTTGTAATAGCGTTTTCCATCTGAATGTTAACTATAATACTAGGGTGTGGAGCACGGAGTTGCCCAAGGACTGCCGCGCGCCCTCATTTGTTTAATCATTACTTTGCCTTGTTGGGCTGCGTGCAGGCCCCCTTCTGTCCTGGGCCTCACCCCAGGGGCAGCTGCTAACCGAGGGGCAGAAAACGGGGGCAGGAGAGGCATGCGCGGGGCGCGAGGGTCGGGGGACGCGGACGTGCAGAGGAACGGGGATGGCTCCAGGCCGCGAGGTGCGAGGGTCGGGGGATAGCTAGCTCCAGGGAACAGGGATAGCTCAAGTGAACAGGGAACAGGAACAGGAACGCGGGTGCGAGGGTCGGGGAATAGCTCCAGGCCGCCTGGATGGGTCCGAGTACAGCTGGGGGGTCGGAGGATCGGGCCGCATCGCCGATGCATCGGCGACGCGGCGCGATGTGGAGCCTGGTGTTCTCCAAGCTGGCGTCGCCGATGCATCGCCGATGCGGCGCGATCTTCCGACCCCATCTGCTCGGAAACCATTTAGGAGGCTTCTAATAGTTGGGGTAGCGCTTCAAGAGGGGGACGGGAGGCCTTGCTCCGCCCCCTCACGATGCAGAGGAGAGAGGGGGGAGGAGGGACAAGCGGAGGGACAAGCGGAGGGGGAGGAGGGAAAAGGGGAGGGAAAAGAGGGGGGAGGGGGGAGGGACAGGCGCAGGGAGGGAAAAGAGGGGGAAGAGGGGGAGGAGGGAGAAGAGGGGGATGGAGGGAAAGAGGGGAGGGACAAGCGGAGGGACCAGGGGGGCAGGGGCAGGAGACGGATCGCTGGGGAGGCCTCGCGCTCCCGTCGCAGGCGCGCCGCCCCGGGGCGCGAGGGGGTTCTGATGGGGAAGGGCCGGGCCCTGAGATCCGACGCTGCCCCCAAAGCATGCAGCATGGCAAGCAGACACCACCGGAGCCCCGGACCCCTTGGAGCCACGGGACCACCTGGGGACTGATGCGCGCACGGCGCCCTCGGCTGTCCTCGTCTCCTCCTCCTCCTCCTCCTCCTCCTCCTCCTCCTCCTCCTCCTCCTCCTCCTCCTCCCCTCCTCCTCCTCCTCCTCCTCCTCCTCCTCCTCCTCCTCCTCCTCCTCCTCCTCCTCCTCCTCCTCCTCCTCGTCCGCACCCTGGGGCTCGCAATTCTGCCAGTGAGACGCTTGGCTGGCTTAGTCGCAGCTGCACGCCTGCGGGATGCAGCTGCTCAGTCTCCCCCTCACGCCCCTCGGGGTGATCTCGTCCCTTGCTCCGCGCTGCGCTGATGGGGAAGCAAGAAGCCGCTTCTCGAGCCGGATTGGCCCGTGAGGGCCTCCGGGGGGCCCGAGGCCGGGGCGAAGTCGCCCGCGGTGAAGAAGCTGCAGCGCCAGGGTCTTATCTTTAGAGGAGGGCGAGGGGCGCCGCAGGTCGGGCGCACGCGTGCGTGAGCGACCACCGGGGGGTGGCGCCAAGAGGCGGCGCCCTCGCCGCGCAGGGCGGTCGAGGATCGAAGGGTCGAGGATCGAGGGTCGAGGATCGATCGAGCATCGAGGATCGAGGGTCGAGGGTCGAGGGTCGAGGGTCGAGGGTCGAGGGTCGAGGATCGAGGATCGATCGAGGGTCGAGGATCGAGGGTCGAGGGTCGAGGATCGATCGAGCATCGAGGGTCGGAGGGTCGATGGCCGCGGGCGCCAGCGGCCGCCGGGGGCCGGCGGCCGGAGCGCCCCCCCCCCCGCCCCCCCCCCGCCAAGAGCCCTCCGTGATCTGCCGCCTGGCTCCTCGAGCGCCGTGGTTGCTCGTGGGCCCTGGTTCCGAAAATAGTGAAACGTCGCCCGTCCTGATTTTTTTTACGACGCGATCATGTGGGGGACGGGGTTCCTGGAAGTCCCGACCCTCTCCTCTGGGGGCCGGCCGGCGCTTTTCCTCCCGGACGTCGTGGTGTTTGACCGCCTGCAGGGGCCCCGCGAGGGGTCCCCGGAGAGGACGAAGACGGCCGAAGACCGCTTTCCTGCTGTGGTTCTCAAGGTGCGAGCACGTCTGGGCCCAAAGGCTGCACTGGAAACCATCTGCACGAAGACTCCCCCCCCTGGGGGGCCCTGAGATATCCTCCTCTCTCCGTTTCCCTTTTCGTTTCAAATTTGGGCGTACCGGCCTATCTTCGATTTGAGGCCGTGTTCGATTTTTCTTCTTGCGTTGACGCTGTAGGGTAATCCGCAGCATCCGCATTGACCTCTCTTGCCGTTCTTTTCTTGCTCCGCCGTCGGCCTGCGACCCCTTGGGTTGTTACCACGGGAGGGTGGTCGCCAGTCGCCGTCCGTGAGGCCCAAAGCGCACCTGGGGCACCATAGATCTTTCATGGACAAAACAAATCCTCGCGTGGTGAAAAACTCACGGGAGGTGTCTCGTCATTTTCGGCCTTCGGGGGCCCTCGCCGGGCCCCAGAGGCCGTCAAAAGACACAACGAAAAACGGGTCCCCGGGAAGGGGTCCATCCCCTTGCAGGGTCGACGCTGTGGAAAAGTCACGACGTCGGGGGTCTTGGGCCCCTGTTCCTGCTCCTCCTCTTCCTCCTCCTCCTCCTCCTCCTCCTCCTCCTCCTCCTCCTCCTCCTCCTCATCCTCCTCCTCCTCCCTACCTGCTCGGAAGGTCGGCGGGGACCCGGGCTTCCTGGCCACGGAGCTGCTGGGCGCTGGGGTGCCCGTCACGGTCGTGGACCCTGCGTTCGGGGCCAGCGGCGACCCCACAGGGAGAGACCTGTGCCTCTCGGGACGATCGAAATAGGTGCGGAAGGACTGGGCACAGGGTACGCCATGATTTCCTCTTCATTTTGAGCAGGGCTCGCTGTCGGTGCCGCCGTGGGCCTTGTCCCTTTGAGACAGAAGGCCGCC